TTTCATCGTCATTTCCCCGGTTTTCTCGATTTCGTATTCTTCTTCTAATCGAACTTGGAGAAAATATATCCAGTCGGATACTTTCCAATCGCTGTCAACTAAAAGTGACATATTGGGAAGAAACTCCTAGATTTTCAAACTAAGTTAAGCGAGAACACAAAAAATAAAAGGATGATTCACGTTTAGAAATTGTAGAAAAATAAACAGATTGAGTGAATTTGTAGATTTCACTAGATTGGTGGGTTTAACTAACAGAGTTTTGAAGATGTGGAGTTATGATAATTATTGATAGCAATTTCACAGGCCAGGTTTTTGAAAGCTGGTAGCCTCAATATGCTAACACTTTAGGCACGCATACGACTTTATTATCCCCGTTAGACGTTTTGATATCATCATTCTTTTTCTTGGAGGCAACGATCTATTCAATGCGCTCTAGCCTTCTAGCAACACTCAAGACTCGCCGAAAAACAGCTCAACATTTGATCGATCAACCTCGTCTGCTATAGAACCAAAAAAAACGTTTGTGTTCTGGGTATTCGCGAACGGGACGAAAATTTTGCAGTAGAAAGTGTATCGAGCAAAGCTCTTCGAGCGAGAGCTGAGTGAGTTTCACCGAGAGTTCAGCCAAGATTCGATTGGAAAAATAGCGGCGTCAGTAGCCGTACCTTAGGTAGAGGACACTTTAAACCAGATAGAGCTCAACTCAACAAACAAAATGGTCTAAATAACATCAAAAACAGATAGTAGAGGGCAGATTTTTGTAATCGAACACCACAGGAAACTGAACGAAGCCGAAAACACAAAGGTGATAACTTGTCATACAAACAATTGTCAGTATGCCGATCTATGGAAACCTCCACGTCAGTAAATTAGTGAGTACGCTTAAAATTGATTTTCAAAAGATATCTTAAGGCGCCATCGGTTTATCAGTATTAAATGATCTTTCTTGTTCTTCTTTTCCAAAGGTTTTTTTCCAGATTCCAATTGTTAAGATATGAACAGTAGTTCATGTTTGGAAGACCTGCAAAATCAACAGCAAAGAAAAGAAAAATTCTTATCACTGAGTCTCATGCATTTGTCACATAGATCTAACGCCTGAATGTACAGCTCTATCAAATTTCGCCGTAAACGGTATACGGGAGCTGGGTATGATAGCAATGTTGTAGTGTAACTGTTGTCTCGAGATCAATGAGCACGATAGGTTTATAAGAAACAGCAGTGTAGAGAAAGTGAAATTAGAACCAAGCTTGCAAAAAAACTGAGAGTAATAATTGATAAGAAAACTGATGATGCATTAAACAAGATTTTTGAGAAAATTCAAAGAACATATTTAGTTGTGTTGGAAGCAAAATAACAAAAGGGATTTGGATCTACCCAGTCGCCAAAAATTGAATATGCAAGAACATTGCACTAACAGACAATGTTTTTGAAACCAACGGGTCCCCGAAGACTCAAAGAAATTCAGAGTAGAAAATTTACTCCCCACGAACGGAAAAAAATGCAATACTGAGTGTAGTCGCTGAGAAACCAAATATAGTTGAACTAAAAAGACTGGGAAAGTTGATTAGAAAATATCTCTTGTTTCAGTTGCAAATGAACATGAGGCGCGTTTAATCTTGGCAAAGACTAAGGAGAAACAAGTTTGCTTGTGAAAAATGGGCATATTTTTTACTCCCGGCTCTTTTGAGAGAAGAAGCAGCTAAAAAGAATCAAAACTTGAAGACCAGGCGATCTTTAATGGATGAAGGTGTACCCAAGGAGAAGGTAAAAATTAGAAATCTTCAACTGACCAACAATGGAGTGACAATTGAAATTGGAGCAAACTCAAGCCCTAGCAATAGTACTTGACTAGGTTTCCTTAAAAATCTGCAACTCAACACTTGAAACTTTGTTAGCATTGAAAAGAGATCAAAACTATCATATCCGAACATTTCCACATTCTTTGTCTTTGAGAAACCTGGCTTATTTGGCAAACTAAGTCAATTGAACTGATGCTAACTGATTTCACAATATGCAGAGTGAACAAAATACATAAAATTAAAAAAAAATGGTGGATCACTACAAAATACATAAAATTATCATGATGGATCACTAATTGCTGTCAAAAACAGTACAAAATTTTTGAATTAAAGCACAACCTTCTTTACTCGTGCATAGCTTGTAGAGAAAAATAGATGGCAACAAACTAAGCGTCTGCGTTTCCTACTAAACAAACATAACACTAGCTAATACTGATGTACTGAAGAAGATTTCGAAAGAAGCACAAATTTCAAAAACTTAACAGCTCTTATTATGCGAATACTTAAACACTCCAAACACCAATTGGGAGACTCTAATGAGCAGCGATGAGTATGCGCTTAGTATTGTCGACCTAATTGATGGAAAAACTATTTAAACCAGCAGTATTTTCAATAAGTCTTCCAAAAACCTGCTTGATGTAGCATTCTATCGAAACTGTCTTATCCATACTGAAAAAAATAACGAATTTGTTTCTAAAGTCCATAATTGCTCAGATTGCAATGCAATACGACTTTTGGTGGAGTTTTTTTACAAAATCATAAAGCAGGTTAAAGAGAACCGCAGAATCGTCGGCGATGCTGATTACAACCAACTCGGCAGGATGATTGAATTTGCACTTTTTGAGCCCAGATGTCACGCCAACATCGATAAAATGAGTGAAGAATTGAAGGATGGATTTAGACATAAACAAAACCTTAAGTAAGAAGGGGCCTTAATCCAATTTTTAAACACCTCAAAAGTTAAAATGTGAGAAACAGCAGTAACCAAAACGAAAAAGTAGACATGATGAACGAATTCGCTCATTCTGATTTCTCACCGAAACAATATTTTCATATTGAAGACATAACAATAGAAAAACCAAATTGAATAAGTTCCGTGTATTGGTAGAGACTCTTCAAGAAACAAAAAACACAAGATCCAAAAAAAAAATTTAAATCCGAAAAAACACTATATCCGAAAAAACCACTGGCTCGTACTAAACTTTTTCACAAAACCGCCAGGCTAATGGCAGTTAATTTAGGCAGTATTTTCAAAATATAAAGCGCATCAGGAAACTACCAATCAGATTGAAACTGGCAGCGGTGACACTAGTGTTCAAACAGTAGGATAGGCTTTATTTAGACAACTACCGACCTGTAGCACTCCTAATTATTATTTGCTCAATTTTTAGAAAAGTGTATCGTTAAAGAGTTGTATCAGCACTTTGCGGATCAATTAAGCTCGAGCCAGAATTGCTTCGCCTACATGTCTTCTTTGATGCACATGTTAAATTTCCTCAAGAAAAGTCTCAAAGCTCTAGACAAAAAATCATCTTGCTACGTCTTCGCTTTTTACACGGATTTTTTGAAGGCGTTTGTTAAAATGCCTTATAGAAAACTTCTCAAAAACTTGGTAAAACAGGCGTGGGGTTATGTTTAACTGAAATTTTGCATGACTATCCTAGCGGGCGAAACAACATATTTGTGTAGATAATACATGTTCCAGTGTACTGGAAGTAGCAAGCAGTGTAGCACAGGGCTCTCTACGGGGACTAATTCTGTTTTGTATTGAAATTTAGCAACCCGTTCTTGTTCGCTGGTGACCTAACAATTTTTCCCGTAAACAAGCGTTATGTCCAAGTACAGTTACACTTGGACTCACTTGATACCTGGGTCAGCAAAAACAAGATGAGTCTAGCAATGCGCAAATAATTCAAGATAAACTTCAGAACATTGAAATAATGGATCATAGATTGAAATAATGGATCATAGACCGCCAGCAGGGTGTTGGCTTTGGTAGACTTAATATGTGGCCGAGGGCATTCCAGCGTCTTGTGGTCACTTCGAGTGATACTTGGGATGAGTCGCACCATTCGTATAGTTGTTTATTGGAAATCTTGTATGGGTACTTGATTTTTAGTACTTTTCGTAATTGTTGGCGATGGAAGGCGTCGATTAGTTTTCGTTCTATCCTTCTCAGACCCCAGGTTTCGCAGTTGTGGAGCAGTATCGGTTTCATCAGGCAATTATACAGTTGTAATCGTCTTCTCAGTTTGATAGTTAGACTAGTTGTAGTTCTGCTAGGGCTGTTGAGGCTAGCGTTTTCCTACGTATCAGGTCTTCAGAATCTCCTAATAACGAGCGGAGCTACTTCGTTTTCCTCCACCTCCCTTCTGATCTATTTGCTCGTTTTGACGGTCTCTTGAATCCAAGTTGAGTCGTTTTCGTCTTCCATTATAAAGTCGGTATCGTCTGCGTAAATCGCTTCGTCTGATTACAGGATTGAGTAATCGTGGTCTAATTGTGCCGGTGGTTTCGCTTTATCTCGTTGCTCTGATGTTGGTTGGGAATGTTTCGTGGTTCTGACAAATGTCAATCTTGATCTCCAGGTTGGTTTCAGTCAAAAATTTTGTTAGTAGTCGAACTTCGTCTAGTGGAATGATCTTGTGATATGTTTTGATTAGCTGTTTTCTGTCGATCGAGTCAAATGCAGCTGAAATGTCGATTCCTGTCAAATATACTTTCATCTGGAACTTCTGAAGTTTCGCGACCAGCCACTTCAATCCCCAGACTATGTCCTTTGTCCCTCTGCCCTGTCGTCTTGAACTCTGAGAGTCGGAGATGTATTGTTCAGTGGCCGAGCGGATTCGGCTCATTAAGATCAAAAACAACAGTTTGCGGATTGTTGGAAGCAGTATAACTGGTCGGAGGTTCTTGACGGATCCCTTTTTTTCCCCGGAATTCTGTAGGGGAACCAGGATTCCGTGTCCAAGCTTCAGGTCGGCGTGCTGCTGGAATGCACCGTTCAGTATGCTGGTCACGCCTGTTACTAGGATATCTGGTCCATATTTGAGCGGTTCTTCACTGATCCCATCAAACACAGCAGCTTTTCCGTTCTTCATTTTCTTCAGCGCAGATATTACTTCACTTTCGGGCATAGTCCGGTAGTTCTTGTGACGTGTCGCTTTCAAGTTCGTCGATATCGCTCTTGAAGAAAAGTTGTTAGAAAAAATCTTTGATGCTGTCGTATCCCTCCTCCGGTGATTTTATAGTGTGATTGTTGCCATCCTTCATCTTTGGGTTTTGCCGCTTCCCTCGAAACAAAATTTTCACAGATTTAAACATCTTCGCATTGTCATGTGTGATTTCAACTTCAGTCAATAGCAAGTCGAGGCTGTCCTGTTTCGCTTTCTTCACTTGGGCATGAATTTCGGTGAGGATCTGACTTCGTTTGCTTCTGAGCCTTCTAATCTTGTCCTCCTCCGTAGCCTCCTTGATTTTCAGTCTTAGATCTCTTTGCTTCTGCGACAAGAAATGGATCTCTGGGTTTTTATCTTTTCTCGTTACGTTCTATTCCAAGGTTCATGTTGCGGCTGCAAGAACGTCCTTGCGCAAAGGTTCCCAGGCCGTTTTCTTATTCCTCCCTCCAGTTCGGATTGGTATTGTTCTCTCGTGTTCTTCTTTGGCACCAAGCGATTGATAATATGTGGTGGCTGATTTCGCTCGATTTTTGGCTTGTACAACTTAAATTTTCGTATATTGAATCTTGCTACTACCAGACGGTGATTAGAGTCTGTTATCGTTCCGCTGTAGCTTCTCGCATTCGTCAAATTTGGTTTCTCAACCATGAAGTAGGCTATGTAGTCAATCTGATTGAACAATGTTATTAGTTTCCCATTAATTCTGATTCTCGATTCCCACGTCGTGATTTGGCTAGCGCAATGTTGAAAGCCGGTGTTTGCGATGAAGAGTTGGGTCGTCTCGCAGAATTCTAGAAGAGTTGTGGCGCTGTTGTTTTTCCGTCCCCTGGAAAACCGTCCGATGCATGTGTATCCGGTCGGGCGTCCTACTTTGGCGTTGAAGTTTCCAGCAATGTACAGCAAATTGTGTTTCTTGTTCTCACCAACCAATTTGTTCAGTTTATGGTAAACTTCGTCCAACTCATCTAGGTTGTGCTTTAATCTGCCTGTTTGGGGGCATAAATATTAATCACGACTAGGAGATGTTTCGGTTTCGGAGTTGTTAGTTTCAGTTTCGTATCGGTGACGCGTTCGCACCTGTAGCGTTCACGTTTTCGCAGTTTCATCGTCATTTCCTCGGTTTTCTCGATTTCGCATTCTTCTTCTAATCGAACTTGGAGAACAGGTATCCGGTCGGATACTTTCCAATAGCTGTCAACTAAAAGTGAAATTTTGGGAAGAAACTCCTAGATTTTCAAACTAAGTAAAACGAGAACAGAAAAAGCAAAAGGAGGGTTCACATTTAGAACTTGTAGAATAAAAAACAGATTGAATGAATTTGTGGATTTCACTGGATTGGTGGGTTTAATAAACAGTATTTTGAAGATGTGGAGTTATGTGAACTTTTCAGAAGCTAATATCTGCGTTTGGTTAAGTTCATGTTGATTTCAGTGGCTGCAGAAACTCGCGTAGGAATTATAAAAAAATTTTCTGGGAGCAATCCCAGCAGCAGTTGCTAAAAAATCTATTCATCAGCAACAACAATAATACTATCAATTAATTGCTTAAAGTTTGTATTTTTAAAATGTTGCTATATTTGACAATTTTTTACATTATAAACATATTTTGACTCACACTTGTACATTTCAAAATACTTTCAACTAGCAAATAGTGTTTTTTTCTTTGACAAAAATGAAAAACATTAGCATGTTCTCTAGAAAGTTTTATCTACTGGAAAATATAGTATTTTTTTTTCTTGAATATTCCTTCTTTTTAGCTGGATTGATTGTTACACGCGCAATTCTTAAAACGTTTTTGCTTCAATTGTTTGAAGGGAAAACTGCGATGCTCAAACAATCGAAATTCAGTGCTCAATTATGCAACAATTTGTACTTCATCACACTGTTTTCAGAAATGACAATGGCGAGTCTATTCTCTTTCACTAGTCCCGCCGTCAAACGTCTTCTCGGATGGAAACAAGGCGATGAAGAAGAGAAGTGGGCTAAAAAAGCTGTTGACGCGTTGGTCAAAAAATTGAAACATCTTGCTACGTCTTCGCTTTTTACACGGATTTTTTGAAGGCGTTTGTTAAAATGGATTATAGAAAACTTCTCAAAAACTTAGTAAAACTAGCGTGGGCTGATGTTTAACTGAAATTTTGCATGACTATCTTAGCGGGGGGATCTGACTTCGTTTGCTTCTGAGCCTTCTAATCTTGTCCTCCTCCGTAGCCTCCTTGATTTTCAGTCGTAGATCTCTTTGCTTCTGCGACAAGAAATGGATCTCTGGGTTTTTATCTTTTCTCGTTACGTTCTATTCCAAGGTTCAAGTTGCGGCTGGAAGAACGTCCTTGTGCAAAGGTTCCCAGGCCGTGTTGGGTTCTGATTTTCTTATTCCTCCCTCCAGTTCGGATTGGTATTGTTCTCTCGTGTTCTTCTTGGGCACTAAGCGATTGATAATATGTGGTGGCTGATTTCGCTCGGTTTTTGGCTTGTACAAATTGTATATTCGTATATCGAATCTTGCTACTACAGACGGTGATTAGATTCTGTTATCGTTCCGCTATAGCTTCTCGCATTCGACAGATTCAGTTTCTCAACCATGAAGTAGGCTATGTAGTCAATCTGATTGAACAATGTTATTAGTTTTCCATTAATTCTGCTTCTCGATTCCCACGTCGTGATGTGGCCAGGGCCCATCAAAATACTATTGCTATTGCAATATTTTGCAATATGTGTATTGCAATTTTCTATTTTGAACAATTATCATAAGCAATATATTGATGTTTATACTGCAATTTGTTGCAATATTTTGCAATACTTAAATTGATTAATAAAGCAGCGTTTAGGTTAAATGCACGTAATTTTGCCGCCATTTATAGCTTGCACGGCATAATTGCGTGGCGACTGTTTGTCTGGTTAGCTCGAATGCAATTGGCTAACGTTGCAAATTGCACATATTACACGTGTCTAAGTACATATTCGAGTACATATTTTATGGTTCACATCAAAATGACAGCTAAAGTTAACTACAGATCAAATAAGGAAATTGCTCTTACATTTTATTCTCTTCTACCTTGTGAGAACGACAGATATGAATGTAAATGTGGGAGTAAAAGAACTCGCAAAGACAAATCGGGGTGGCAAAATTTGATTGATCACATTGAGCATTCACATCAAGAAGAATACAAACTGCTAAAAGAAACCCCTTTAGATGGAAACCCAAACCAGCAGAATATTACCAATTTCTATCGAACAATATCAGTTCATTCCGAGAAAACCAAGAAGATTCATGGATGGGTTGATTGGGTTTCAACACATCTGAAGCCATTCAGTTTCGTTGAAGAGGTTTGTACCCGAAATTATTCGAATTTACCAGAAATTTCAGTTACTCTCCCAAAAAGTACATGGAATGCATTGCAAAATGAGTAGAAGAAAAAGTCGCTTCCAGACTTCAGAGAAATTTGCATTAATTATGAACGGCTGGTCTGCGGGAACAACACATTTTATTGGGTTATTTGCTAGTTACAGCAATGGGCTAGCGGATCCTGGAAGCACATTACTAGCTTTTTCCCCCTTTATTGATGAATCAAATTTCGGGGCAGATCAACATGTTAATTTCATTAACTGGGTAGTGACAAAAGTTTATAGAAAAGAGATGGTTTGCATCACTTGCATAACTTCAGACAACTGCTCGACTAACAAAAAAGTTGCAGAGTTACTTGGAGTTCCAATGTTAGGTTGTGCTTCTCACAAACTAAACCTGGCGGTTGGTGAGTTTTGTTCGGAGTTTTCGGACATTATTGATCGAATTCACGACATGATGGTCAGACTGCGCCAGCTGAAAATGGCGGGAACATTACGTGCGTTAACGAACCTTTCTCCGGTACTGCGGGCACCTACACGATGGTCCAGTGTATACAAAATGCTTTCTCGTTATGTGGAAATTAAGCATTTTATCAGTCAAGTTTTTGGCAATGAGAATTTGCACGATATGCTATAGCTATTGCCCCAATTCAAGAAAAAAATGCAATTTCTCTTCTAACCAAATTGAAGATATTCAACTCATATTGCATTGAATTACAAGCTAATTCGACTACTATAGCTGATGTTCGCTACTTATTCGATCTTATTCTTGAAAAGTTTCCGGAAACAGTTCGTAATTGAGGTCAAAAAGAAGACAAGTATTTCGAAAACGCCATTATCAAAATTCAGAATGGTAAAGCCGGTGAATTGACGTATAATGAATTGGAGGCCGCAAAAGCACTTCAATTATTGGTCGCCCCGTTCGATACTTCCAGTACGGAAGATGATGATTTTGCAAAAAAATACTCTCAAAAAAACGAAAATTTCAGTTGTCGACCAGTTGCAGATTCATGAGAACGGAATTTAATACACCGACTTCAAATATTCCCGAAAGATTTTTCAGCAAAGCTGGTTATGCTTATAATGGTTATCGGAAAAGTATGCTAATCTGGAAATGCAACTTTTTCTTCACTACAATCATAAATTTTGGGACATTAATACCGTGAAAGAATGTGTTGACAAAAATAATTTTTAATAGTTGTTTGCAATTCATTGTTTCTTGCATTTTTCTTCTCGGAAGTATTGCAATATATTGCAATATTATATTGCAAATGTGAAAAAAAAATAATATTTTATTGCCAAAAAATTCGGAAAGCAATAATATTGCAATAGTTTTTTGATATGCCCTGGATGTGGCTAGCACAATGTTGAAAGCCGGTGTTCGCGATGAAGAGTTGGTTCGTCTCGCAGAATTCTAGAAGAGTTGTGGCGCTGTTGTTTTTCCGTCCCCTGGAAAACCGTCCGATGCATGTGTATCCGGTCGGGCGTCCTACTTTGGCGTTGAAGTTTCCAGCAATGTACAGCAAATTGTGTTTCTTGTTCTCACCAACCAATTTGTTCAGTTTATGGTAAACTTCGTCCAACTCATCTAGGTTGTGCTTTAATCTGCCTGTGTGGGGGCATAAATATTAATCACGACTAGATGTTTCAGTTTCGGAGTTGTTAGTTTCAGTTTCGTATCGGTGACGCGTTTGCACCTGTAGCGTTCACGTTTTCGCAGTTTCATCGTCATTTCCCCGGTTTTATCGATTTCGCATTCTTCTTCTAATCGAACTTGGAGAACAGATATCCGGTCGGATACTTTCCAATAGCTGTCAACTAAACGTGAAATTTTGGGAAGAAACTCCTAGATTTTCAAACTAAGTAAAACGAGAACAGAAAAAACAAAAGGAGGGTTCACATTTAGAACTTGTAGAATAAAAAACAGATTGAATGAATTTGTGGATTTCACTGGATTGGTGGGTTTAATAAACAGTATTTTGAAGATGTGGAGTTATGTGAACTGTTCAGAAGCTAATATCTGCGTTTGGTTAAGTTTATGTTGATTTCAGTGGCTGCAGAAACTCGCGTAGGAAATTATAAAAAAAACTTTCTGGGAGCAATCCCAGCAGCAGTTGCTAAAAAATCTATTCATCAGCAACAACAATAATACTATCAATTAATTGCTTAAAGTTTGTATTTTAAAATGTTGCTATATTTGACAATTTTTTACATTATAAATATAATTTGACTCACACTTGTACATTTCAAAATACTTTCAACTGGCAAATAGTGTTTTTTTTCTTTGACAAAAATGAAAAACATTAGCATGTTCTCTAGAACGTTTTATCTACTGGAAATTATAGTGTTTTTTTTCTTGAATATTCCTTGTTTTTAGCTGGATTGATTGTTAAACGCACAATTCTTAAAACGTTTCTGCTTCAATTGTTTGAAGGGAAAACTGCGATGCTCAAACAATCGAAATTCAGTGCTCAATTATGCAACCATTTGTACTTCAACACACTGTTTTCAGAAATGACAATGGCGAGTCTATTCTCTTTCACTAGTCCCGCCGTCAAACGTCTTCTCGGATGGAAACAAGGCGATGAAGAAGAGAAGTGGGCTGAAAAAGCTGTTGACGCGTTGGTCAAGAAATTGAAAAAGCAGAAAGGTAAATTTCTACTTATCCACAAAAATTGTTATCCGAATGTAATCAGTGAACAGTGATGGATCAGTAATAACTCATAGTATTCAGTTCTAATGGAGATAGCTAAGATCAGAGTTTTGATTCTTCCATTAAACTTTAATAAGGGCGGCCATTCAGTTTTGAGCTCTGAGTTGATTGATCATTGAATTCAAACCTCATCTATCGCAGAAATTTTTCAAAGCAGATTGTAGAGCTGTGATATAATGTAGTATGTGTTCAATTCATAGAAAAACTTACTGGGAAATCATGCTACTGAGTGAGTTAACCCAAAATTATCCAAGCTCTCAAATTTTCAAGTTGGTTTTTTCAATTTTAGGAGCATTTGAAGATTTGGAACGAGCACTAAGTAGACCCGGTGAGCCGAGCAATTGTGTCACGATCCCCCGTTCACTTGATGGTCGTCTGCAAGTGTCCCATCGAAAGGGATTACCACATGTGATTTATTGCCGTGTTTGGAGATGGCCAGACTTACAATCCCATCATGAGCTGAAAGCGCTAGACATCTGCAAGTTCCCATTTAACAGTAAACAGAATGATGTCTGCATCAACCCTTATCACTACAAGAGGGTCGAAACACCAGGTGACATTTTAGTTTTGAGTAAAAACTAACTTGGATCAGAAAGACATTTTATTTGCATCTAAAAACGTTTTAGTCCTTCCTCCAGTTTTGGTCCCTCGATACAGCGAGTTTCCGCCCACCCACAAATTCCTACCGGGCGGTGTGCCCTTTGGTCAGCCAGGCCCACCTGGTGTGCCACCAACAGGAGGAATGGATCAGTCAGCTGCAATGCCTTTCAACATGTCCCCTTTCCCTTCAGCAAGCAACCCTTCGAGTCCCAGTCAAACAGCAACTGCAACTACCGCCGGACCAACAAGTCCGTATGATTTATCCGGTATGGTTTTTTCTTTCACAAATGAAATGTGTACTTGTTTACAGGTGGTCAGTCAATGAGCTGATTGGTCTTAGAGCTGAATGGGTCCAAGAGCAGAAAAAGAGTCATTATTACCAAAGAAACTAATATTTTATGCATAATTAAAAAAAAATCTATAAAAAACGAAATTATACAATTCTTGCATAATTTTATTTTCTTGGTTTTATTGACGTCTCTGACGATTGTTTTCTCAATTAGCTCGTACAAATCAATAAAAGTTAAAATTTGTCTGTTTTTCTGCTCGTGGACCCATTCTGCTCTTAGAACATTCTGCTTGCTGCTCCGCCTCCTTGTTTACAAGAACGTTTGGAATCAAATGCGGGGCAACGGTTATTTGATCGCGAGAGCGCCGATGCCAAATGTTTGAAAAGATAGCCCATAACGCAAAATTCAAATTGTTGCCTTTTTTGGTCGAGTTTGTGATTAAATTCAAATTCGGACCCGTAAATCCGCTAAAGGTTTAAAATACATTGAGTCGATTTTTTTGCTATTTAGATACGCCACAGTCTGCGTACATGTCGGGAAACGAAGAGCACAAAACGAGCATAGAACAGATGTTGGAGGGAGGTCAAGGAGGCGTGATCAACCACCACCCGATGCACTCGGCAGCAGCTGCGGCAGCCGCAAACAGAGCCGGAGTCGGAAATATGCCCGTAGAAGTTACACCCGTGAACTACCAAGAGCCTCCCTGGTGGTGCTCGATTGCCTATTATGAATTGAATTACAGAGTGGGAGAACCGTTTCATGCCTCGAGGCCGAGCATCGTGATTGATGGGTTTACTGAGCCTTCGAACCCCGAACGATTTTGTCTCGGTTTGCTCTCGAATGTGAACAGAAATTCAACGATAGAAAACACTAGAAGACACATCGGAAAAGGCTAGTTCAACTAAAATTTGCAGTTAAATTGGTTTTTCAATTGAGAAAACTGTGATTATCAATGTTAAATTTGAAGCATGTTCGAGCTATCGGTCATCATCGGCAGTTAAACAACAAAAGAATCGACCTTGTAATAAAGCACCATTTTTCGATGAAATAAAAGAAAAACCTAATCGAATCACAAACAAAGAAATTTTGTCTGTGGAAAATGTCAATTTGTCCACACTTTTCAGTAAAGCAATTTTTAAATTGTTGGTCCCAACAAAGCAGCGGCCATGATTTTATTCCAACACTGTTTCAGGAGTCCATCTGTATTATGTGGGAGGCGAAGTGTTCGCCGAGTGTTTAAGCGACAGTAGCATTTTCGTGCAGAGCAGAAACTGCAATCACCACCATAACTTCCACCCTTCCACCGTCTGCAAAATACCGCCGGGATGCAGGTATGTCAGTGAGCGGGCTTAACTGGCAATACTTTTTATGGCCCAAAGATGTGATTGGGTTTATTCAAATGAACTCCACATACCAGAGATGTCCCTAGGTGAAAATTCAGCTAGATCTCAATATTGCAACGTTTCCATAATTCGGAGTTTTCCATATAATTCTATATTATTTTTTTTATTTTAGCTAAGACCTCAAAACAAGTTCTTTTTAGTTTGAAAATCTTCAACAATCAAGAGTTCGCCCAACTGCTGTCAAATTCAGTGAATCACGGTTTTGAGGCAGTCTACGAACTCACTAAAATGTGCACTATCCGAATGAGTTTCGTCAAGGGGTGGGGAGCTGAGTACCACCGACAAGACGTCACCAGCACCCCCTGCTGGATCGAAATCCACCTTCATGGCCCCCTCCAATGGCTGGACAAAGTCCTAACCCAGATGGGATCGCCCAGAAACCCTATTTCATCCGTCTCCTGAAACACAGACTCTTTGAATATTTCTCTCTTTTTTTTGCACGGGAAGTTGACTCTTTCTGCATTCATTTTTCTTCTCATGATGCCATTTTTACTTCACTCTGAGTAGCTTTACATTTTAAGGAGACAATTTTGTATCGTAAAATAGAGTCGTACTACTTCTTTTTCTTATTACTGATCGAGAATGGGTCGACACTCTTGTCATTTACTGGGCTTTTATGATAATGGTTAGGTTCCATCTCCTCAGTGCTCCCTTCCTTTGTCAACATACTTATTGACTGCCTTCGTCCATTTGGGACAAATATTCTATCTTCTGATTCTGTAACTTATGAAGTTCAATTTATTGTAATTACATCTTGCTGGGCTAACATTATTTTTAATTACAGTGAAAGGTTTCAATGACTCAACGAGTTAAAGTGTTTTGAGCAAATGCAATTCTTCTGGTCATTTTACGCAAAATCAGCAAACAATCAACTAAAGTGATTTTTATTTTAATCATTTATCTTTCATGTTCATATGAATACCTTTTGAGATTGTACCCCTTCGATTTGTATCCTGCTTCTGTTTTTGTATTTTGACAATTTGTATTGTAAAATGTACAAAAGTGCTGTTTTGATGTATTTTAGAAGGAGAGGAAAAGCAAACATTTCAAGCATTCTTAAACATCTTGAGACTGTCAACTTTCAAAAATTTTGGTTTAAATGTGAAAAAAAGCGTTTTGTGTAGATATTTGTTTTTATTTATTTTTCATTGGATGTTTTTGAAAATTACTTTAGCCTTATTGGCACCATTTATTGGAAAATTGTCAAATTAAGGAAGGAAGTAAACAATTAGAGCTCAGATCCGCCAAAGAAATATCCGTTTTTACCTCTCCCCGCTAAATTTGTTGCCTTAGGCCACTTTTATGCACACGAATGAAATCAGAGGGAGTAAGATAGAAGTGTATTAATAGTAGTAGTAATAGTTGCCTCAATTTGAAGGTGTAATTTGGGTAATTTGAACCTGGTGATTACAAACTATGATAATTCACTTTGTTCCTGTAGCCAATATTAATCATCGGGGCTTAGCACACAATCCGTGGGGAGAGCAAAAGAATGGCCCAGAAGTCGTGGCGCCTGCCTTTATTAATTTTAGTCGCCACGCCAGAGCAAACGTCGCAAAGTCCATTCAACAGTCACAGTACCTTTTATTGTCTCAAAAGAATCAAAACAACATGCAGCTGATCAACGGAAAAATCATGTACTATATCAATTTGCTATTAATACTACTCGATAAAACTTTATGTCAAAATCGATTACGTCATAAATGATTCAATTGAAAATGTCACTAATTATACAAAAAGTGTCCTTCGCACCGAGAAAAACGAAAAACACTGTAGCGCAGATGAACGCATTGGGACCTACATAATCCATAAAGAAGACTATTTTGTTCATAGAAACTAACGACAAAAGCTCAAAATTGATGCCTAAAATCAATTCTAAAAGTTTTTTTCCGGTCAGAATTAATGCAAACAAGCAAAATGTTTTTGAAGTTCATTCAACGCACTTGATAAAGCTTTATAGGATATCTTTTTAAAAAATAGAAATAAAATTTTTAAATCAGCTGTTTTTAATTGGCTTTTCGATATGAAATACTTTGCCTTTTGTTGCTACGTGAAAAGAGAATTTTGTTGTAGAAATTTCCCTTGTGCTGTGAAGTAGTAGCTTCGAACAGCATTTACTTAGTTTATCATCAGCTTGATTTGAACTAACATTAGACATATGAGATTATTTTGTGCCTTTAATATTATATCCTCATTTTTCATGTATCTAACTTGCAATAAACAGTTTAAATGCAAAAAAATGCAGTGTTTTCCCAGTGCTTTTTGTTGACTGATAAAAATGAAATATAAAATAGTATTAATGTTTTTCAAAGGAAACAAGGACATGGGAGAATAATTGTATTTTCATGCATTGCTTTATTTCAAACTTAAACAAAACTTTTGAGTCGTACATGAAAAAAATTGAAGTTGAAAAATGAAAGTTTTGTGAAATTGATTTGTATTTCTGATATATTTGTACATTACACTAGATTTATCTTTCGCAGTCTAGTGTGTTTAACTTACCTAACTTTATATTTGAAGTAGCTAGCTGTTATTAATATGTACTTAATATTATAAAGACGAATTGGACATACATGGTCGGACGTTTCTGTTCTAAATATGAAATGTTTCTGCTGATCGGAATTCATTTTTCAAATATAATTTCTTTATTTTAACTATGAGTAAGAAAGTCATGCGCTGTTTGCGATGTATTTGCAAGTATCATGGTAGTATATGAACACTACAGTCACCATGTTTTAGGATAGGACAGTGACAACACAGATGTTGCACCACTAGTGATAATAGATCTAATAGCTCTGCAGGAGAGAGATTTTACTCATTGTTCCAAACTGAAATCCATCCAGATTATTAACGAAATAATAAAATTGAAAATATTGGCGTTTTTATTTTTCTTCACTGAAAACTACTATAAAAAAAACAAGTTGAAAAATTGTTTGCTTTTGGTTCATTTATCTGCTTAATAAGACACAATATTGCGCTCTAAAATATACTATTGCAATGTTGCCGCATACGTATAACCAGAAACCTTATTGGGAGACGGCAGCCAACCAACACCGCATGCTGCGATTTTTCATGGTAAGGTGCTCCAAATATTCTAGAGGGTAGTTTTTATCAGGAATAACCGGCGATACAGCAAATACTGATCCCGATTTATTTCTTAAATGCCGAGAAACGCTGAGTTTTTTATGTAGCGAAATACACTAATTCTGGTCTTGTTTTTGTAAAACAAACTCATTTTTAAATAAAACAAGACTGCTCGTATCAGGGCGAAGCCCTGAATGTTCCGACTGCCTTTTAAGGTTTATGGAGCAGTAATAACATAAACAACATAAAAAAATTAAATGAAATAAAATAAAATGCAAAAAAAATTTTTTCTAAAATTTGAAAATTTTTCTTAGAAAATCATCCCCCCACACGCCATATAAAGTACAAAAGGATAGATTTCGTTCCTTGTAACAAATCAATTATGGCAAATAAGCTTCCTTCAACCAATTTGGAACGATTTCTAAGACGGATTAAATCTCCGCTTACGCGTTAATAGCTCGAATTATATCGCGCGTTAATTGTCCCAAATTGGTCAAAATGGCCGAAATAGCAACCTTTAAACCCTCATAGCTTTACGAAAAATGATCACAGGTGAAATATCTTTTCGAATTTAAGCTCAGGTCAGCAATACCTTTTGAATGATATAAAAAAATTCCGTCAAAAATGGCTAGTTAAAAAGTCGAAATTTGTCTGAAGAAAAAAAAACCCACCCCGAGCACAAATATTCCGTTACTTTCGTATCGAAAGTCGGAACAATAACAATTTTAATTGTTAACCGATGAAAGTTTGTCTTTATGGACGACATCATTAAAACGATGGTAAAAACAGAAAAATGTTGAAGGAGATGTCGGTCGATTCAATCGGAGGTTGTCTTCACAGTGCGCAAAACTGTAACAATGTTTCAAAACTTTACTTTTAGCCCTCTCTTATTATAAGCCATTAAAATCTCGGTCTTTACTTTTGCATGCTTAATTAGCAGGTATTTACCTATGCATCGCACATAAATTCAACTTATCCTGAAATTTACATCTTGAGTTTTCTGTTTGCTTTAGGTTGAATAATATTGATTTTTCTTCGAAGTAGTTCTTTCTATGAACCCTATAACCAAACTAACAGTGTTCAATAATGTTGAAAGATTCGTGAAAAGTGGGGTACCAACGTTAGAACGCTGAATTTATTGGAGATGCATTGGTAAACTCCTGCTATTCAAATATGCAAAGAATAGCGACCGAGATAGTTTATATACTAAGTGATGGCTGAAGTAAAGTTTTGAAACATTTTTTTGAGTTACTGTATGTGTCGAAAAATCAGATAAACAACGCTATGAGTGTCAATGCTCGGACTCAAAACTGTTTTTTGGTAAAGTTAAAATTCTAGCTAGAAAAAATTCGATAGTGAGTTTTCAAAAAAAGTGTTCAAGCTTTGATTGAAAACGAAAAGGACGAAAATTGTTCCGTTCTTTTTTCTTGCTTTTGAAGCTGATTTTTTATACGCTCGACATAAGTAAATCTCAGATTACGTTTTCTTAAATTTACGCTCAAATAAAAAAAAGTAAAAGTGTTTAGTTTCCAATTGAAAAAATACAAGCATGTTAGGTTAACTTCATAATAAAATGTTCATCATGAATGATTTGTGAGTTTAGATCCAGCGTGCGGTGATGTAACTTGTTATAAAAAAGCAACGTTAAACATAACTTTTTCCATCCATTATGTTACCGTTTTCCCAATTATTAACAGGTATGGTACTCTATTTGGTGAAAATAGTTGTTAATTTTAATTTAACAGATAAGTTTGCTTTCTTGTCGTTTGTTTGATTCATTGAAATTTTACTGCATAACTGACCAAATTTTTATTTTATTTATTTATCATTACACAAGCAAAGCTTGTGTAAGAGTCTGAACTATCTTTTTTTTTTCAACCTAAGTCGCAAATGTTGTTGCGACGCAAATTTTGTTGCGACAAAATGTGTTCATTTGATCCATCGCCAGCTATTAAGTACAGCCAATGCTAAGGATATTAACACAGACTATTAAATTACAAATAGCAATTTAGCTTCAAGCTATCATGGATCTGTAGCGTAGAGGTAGGAAAGGAGACCCGCAGCAAAAAAGAGGGTTCGAACCTGGGCAGGGTCGGTTGTTTTTGAAGAACTTTTTTGTATACTTGTCAAAATGCTTCCGCTCTGAAAATTCAGGCATGTTATTTGGCAAATTTCTTCTGGTATTTTTTCTTCTGGAACTTTTTTCAAATTGGCTGGTATTGCTTATACGTCATAATTGGCTTGCATCACCTAGTTATTACTTATACTCATATTTGGCGTGCGTCACTTGAGAAATTTGGTAGACTCAAAGTTGTACTCATTCAGTTTTTCCCGGTAGCATTATTGGTCAAAACAGTGTATGCGAACTGCAACTTCGCCGTCTGTGTAATTTTTTGAATGATGAAAAACAAGATACCTTAGAAACCGATATAATTTCATTTCAAAAAATATTGATAATTTTTGCTAGCCTCAAAAGTACTATACCAACTTAACATACTAACTAATTTGAGGGCGATTTTTTTATGAATTAATAGTTTTTTTTTGTACACAAACGAAGCGTTTTGTAACACTACAACGCATTTTTTACCAACATAAATCTCAACCTGAGGGGGGCTTTGGTATTTTAAGAGCTTGTGCTTTGTGTTTCGATTAGTAATTTACGACAGTTGATGCATTTGTATGTTGGTGCAAATATTCATAAAAATGTGCATGAAAAAAAGCTATTTACTACATCATGCAATAGTACAAAAAAATAACTAATTTATTTCGTTAAATTTTTGAAATGAGTAATTTATGTGAAATTGAGTTTTTTAGTTTCCAATAGTTGATATGAAAGGTTTGACTGGTTGTCTTTAGCTCATGTTTGGAGGCATTTTTGCTGCATAGTAGCGGCAATTTAATGGAATCTAGATCTGAATTGTTGATGGCTACTGTTAGTATCCACAGCAAATAAATTCTTGAGATTCCAAAGTTAAGGGGCAGAACTAGGTATTCAAGCCTACGGAAACTTTTTTTTATTAACTTAGTTTTACCTTTTCTGCTTCTTTTTAGAGCTGATTACTGTCGATTTCTCTTTTGTTTTGCGAGGCACAGCTTCGCTACTGTGTTAAAAGGTTGTAATTTTAAAACTGATTGAAAAAAAACTGAAAGGCAGTTATGCTAGTAGTAATTCAACTGTCCTGGTCTTTTCTCTCAAATATAAATAGAGAAGAAAACAAGAAAAATTTCGTCGATTTTTTTTCTTTCAATTGTTATAACTTGGCAATTTCGGCCCCATTTTCTGTCGGACAGTTTGTGATGCTGCGATTGTGTTCTTTTGTAAGTATCGCGAAGCTCCGCTCGCCTCTGTCAAAATTTTTTTGTCCCGATACCTGAGAAATTTTCTAGACTCAAAGTTGTACTCAATCAGTTTTTCCCGGTAGCATTATCGGTCAAAGTTTTGATTGTGTATGCGAACTTCAATTTCGCTTCTGTGTAATTTTTTGAATAATGAAAGCAAGATACCATAGAAACCGATATATTTTCTTTTCAAAAAATATTCATAATTTTTGCTAGCCTCAAAAGTACTATACCAAGTTAACATATTAATTATTTTGAGGGCAATTTTTTTTTATGAATTAATAGTGTTTTTGTACACAAACGAAGCGTTTTGTAGCACTACAACGCATTTTTATCAACTTAAATCTCAACCTGAGGAAGGCTTTGGTAGTTTAAGAGCTTGTGCTTTGTTTTTCGATTAGTAATAAGTTACGACAGTTGATGCATTTGTATGTTGGTGCAAATTTTCATGTAAATGTGCATGAAAAAAGCTATTTACTTCATGCAATAGTACAAAAAATTAACTAATTTATTTCGTTAATTTTTTGAAATGAGTAATTTATGTGAAATTGAGTTTTTTAGTTTCCAATAGTTGATAAGAATTGTTTGACTGGTTGTCTTTAGCTCATGTTTGGAGGCATTTTTGCTGCATAGTAGCGGCAATTGGTTGGAATCTAGATCTGAATTGTTGATGGCTACTGTTAGTACCCACAGCAAATAAATTCTTGAGATTCCAAAGTTTAGGGGCATAACTAGGTATTCAAGCCTACGGAAATTTTTTTTTATTAGCTTAGTTTTACCTTTTCTGCTTCTTTTTAGAGCTGATTTTTGTCGATTTCTCTTTTGTTTTGCAAGGCACAGCTTCGCTACTGTGTTAAAAGGTTGTAATTTTAAAACTGATTGAAAAAAAACTAAAAGGCAGTTATGCTAGAAGTAATTCAACTGTCCTGGTCCTTTCTCTCAAATATAAATAGAGAAGAAAACAAGAAAAATTTTATTGATTTTTTTTCTTTCAATTGTTATAACTTGGCAATTTTGGCCCCATTTTCTGTCGGACAGTTTGTGATGCTGCGGTTGTGTTCTTTTGTAAGTATCGCGAAGCTCCGCTCGCCTCTGTCAAAATTTTTTTGTCCCGATACCTGAGAAATTTTGTAGACTCAAAGTTGTACTCAATCAGTTTTTCCCGGTAGCATTATCGGTCAAAGTTTTGCTTGTGTATGCGAACTTCAACTTCGCTTCTGTGTAATTTTTTGAATAATGAAAGCAAGATACCATAGAAACCGATATAAATTCTTTTCAAAAAATATTCATAATTTTTGCTAGCCTCAAAAGTACTATACCAAGTTAACATATTAATTATTTTGAGGGCGATTTTTTTTATGAATTAATAGTGTTTTTGTACACAAACGAAGCGTTTTGTAGCACTACAACGCATTTTTTATCAACATAAATCTCAACCTGAGGGGGGTTTTGGTAGTTTAAGAGCTTGTGCTTTGTTTTTCGATTAGTAATAAGTTACGACAGTTGATGCATTTGTATGTTGGTGCAAATTTTCATGTAAATGTGCATGAAAAAAAGCTATTTACTTGATCATGCAATAGTACAAAAAAAATAACTAATTTAGTTCGTTAAATTTTTGAAATGAGTAATTTATGTGAAATTGAGTTTTTTAG